AGCTACCACTGCCTGCCCTGCAGTCCAAGCCCCTGGGCTGGATGGGATGCCAGCTCCAGCTGAAGGGGCAAGTTTGGACCCAGAATGGCATAGGAATGGGACAGGAGAGGACTGCCACAGCTGGGCTGCACAGTCCTAAGGATGGAGAGGCAAGGACAAGGCAGAGAAATCTGAGATGCTGAGAGTGCCTCCTTGGGCACTGCCACTGCACAGGCCTGGGACAGGCATGGTAGTCCTGGCTCTGGGGTGTGGAGACAGCCCAGCACCACTGAGGTCCCTTACCAATAGACATGAAAGTCTCACCCACAGCACCAGGAACCTCCTAACCCTGCCCGCAGGCTCTGACATAGGAGCAAAAGCCAAGTGGAAACTAGCCAGATGAGGGACACCAAATACCCTTGCACACTGCTGGTGTCGGTAATGGGGATGCCCCAAAGCAGCTCAGCAGTGCAGTGCAGGGGGTCTGGCAGCCCCTTTTCCTGTGCTGTCCCCACAGCACGCAGGGAACTGCTCAGCTGCAGTCCTACGCCCCAGGCCCTGCTCCCATTACTTGCTCTGTGGCATGCAAGGAGGATGAGGAGACAGCATGAAGTGACAGGGAAACGAGCTCATTAACCCTTCTGCTAATGGCTGTTCACGCTTCAAATGCCAGGGGTTAATTACCACTGACTCTGCTTATCTCACCAGGAGCCACCAACAGGAGAGCAGCTCCAAGGCAGCCATCTGCTACCATGCTCCCTCCCGGCAGAGAAGGCAAGGCAGGGGCTCCCTCCCCAGTAGCCACAGGCCATCTTCCCTCACCCCCAGGTTGCCAGTGGCCAGGCACGGGTTTCCACAGCCTGTTGGGGACTTGTGGCAACAAGGCACTGGCCAGCTCATGCATTCCCCCCATGGTTAGGACCAGATCTGCCTGAATCAGATCCCGCCTGGTGGGGCAGCTAGGCACAGTCTCCTTTTCTGTTTTGGGTGGGCAGCAGCTTACCCATGGCAGATGGGGCCAGCATGGGCTCCACACCTCTGCTGGATCAGCTGAAGACTGGCACAGGCTGAAACTAACACCTCTGAGGCTCCCAGAGCCCATTGCCCCACTGGTATGGGGCAGGGCTGAGGAACCTCCTGTGCCCCAGCCTGGCACTGTCCGGCTTGGTTGTGAAAAAGGCTGGGAGGTGGTGGCCAGGGTCCCCAGGAGCCCTTCATGCCACCTCCCTGCAAGACAGATTTCTATGGCAACCTCAGCCCTGCACATCCAGCGCCATGGAAACACGGAGAGGTGAGAGCAGAGCCAGACCTCTGCAGGCAAAGAGGGGTTCCGACACCCACCGCCCTGCTGGGAAAAGCACCCCATTATGGTGACAGCAACAACAAGGGACCCGCTCACCCGTGCCCCCATGGCCCCCAGCCCTGGGCACTCACCACTGAAGTGCTGGCGGCAAACGCACGTGTATCCTCCCTCCTTGCGGGTGCAGATCCCGCCATTTAGGCAGGGATTGGAGTAGCAGAGGTTGATCTCTGTTTCACAGTAGTCCCCGGTGAAGCCCTGTGGGCAGCGACACCGCAGGCCGGTGATGGGGTGGATGGGCCGAAAGAGGGTGGAGGGGGAGGCAATGAAAGGGGCTGAGCTGTCGAACTTGAGGACGGAGATGCACTTCATGTAGTTCTGGCAGGGCTCCCGCAGGCAGACGTTGTCGTCAAAGGGCAGCACCTCCAGCATGGAGGCGCCTGTCAGCGCCATGCGCTTCATGTACAGCTGCTCCTGCAGCTCCTCCGAGCTGAAGTACCGCCCGCCCCGTGGTGCCAGGGCCGAGAAGCTAACATTGAGCACCGTGCCACCCACGTCCGTGTCGTTCTGGATGTTGAAGATGAAGATGTCCTCCTTGGGCGTCGCGAGCACGGTGGCCACCCCTTCCAGGAAGGTGGACAGCAGGGGGGAAAGGAAGCGCTCTTGCCACATGTTCTCCAGCCGCACCGTGATGCTGTTGGCCAACATGTCCTCCGTGATGATGATCACCCGCAGGACACACTGGGCTGTCACGCTGTGGATCCCGTCTGTGGGAGGGAACAGGGACACGGTGCAGGTCTTTGCCTCCTGCTTGGAGGGTTTCCTCCGTCCCACCCTGGGGCAGAGCCCTACACCCCAGTGTGGACCCCAAAAGGCTGGAGGGGGAGCAGCCAGTGTGGCTGCATGTTCTCCCTCCCATCAGACTCTCCACTGAGATAACTCTCAGGTTTCCTCCCTGTCCTGTATCTCGGCAGCAAACTGAGCTCTCAGGAACAAAGATGCTCATGAGAACCGGGCAGAAGGAAGACCCAGCAGGAGGTTGGGTAAACACAGGAGCCCATGCCAAGGCGCGGGGTGTTTTGCTTCCCCGCTGCGCCCTGCCTGCCTCCCCGACACTGCCTTTCCCAGCTCCCTCCTCCTGCCATTTCCTTCCTCTCTCCTCCAGGGTTTCCAAGGCTTTTGTGCCGGTCTCCGTGCTTCCCCCCTTCTCACCATCTGCTCTGCATCTCTTCCTCCCTCAGCCCATCTCTGGTTTGTTTAATTCTCTTTAATCTTTATTTTCCTTGGAAACAAACTAGCTCCCCTTGGGACTCCACACCATGCAAGCAATCTCCGAGGCGTGAACACAGGAGCGTGCCCGCACACTTGGAGCGTGCCCGCCTGCTGTCTCCCAGGACCTTGGCCGTTAGCAGCATCTCAGCCCCACGTTAAGCACACTCAGGTCCCAGCAGCTCAGGCAGCACAGCACCAGCCTGGACAGGCAACGGTGCAGCTCCCATCGCAGCACCCACCCCAGCAGCTATGGGATTTGGGGGCTCCCTGCCTCACCCCACCTAGCCAGCTCCCAGAAACCCAACAGATCCTGCGACCTTGGAGGTTCATACCCTGCTGCAAATCAGGAAATACTAGCCAAGATGGGAGCTGGACAGACAGACAGATGTGCCCATGTTCCCAATTCCTCCAGGAAACCCTGCTACAAGCACAGGCAGGCACAGAGCACCCCTCTCAGCGAGACAGAGACTGTAATTACCACAGCTGGGGACCTCCCAGGCAGCACACCCCATACCTTGCTCAGATAAAACTTCCACCAGGCCCTTCCAGAGCACAATTGTCCCAGCCCATTCCCCATCCTCGCCGCTTCACACTGCCCCAGTGCAAGCTGCCTGGCCCTTTGCTGGGGCTGTCGCTCTTCCCCCTCTCTGCCCAGGCAGAAGTTCGGGCAGTGGTTTTATTTTTCAGCCATTAACTCTCCTTTCCATGTGATCCCAGTGAATGGCTTTGCCAGGAGGTACCCCACAAAGCAGCCTGCCAACGTTCCCCTTGCTCAGGCCACTCCGGGCACCTTTGCTAGCAGCTTTGGCTGGGACACGCAGTGGGGAGAAGCCTGCCTGCTGCTCCAGGACACCTCCTTTCTCCCAGTCCCCCTCCTTCTGGGCCCTCTGCCCTCAGCACAGGCTCCGGCAGGCAGAGCCAAACTGCAGCATGGCAAAGCATAGGAACATAGGAAGTTCCATCTTAACATGAGGAGGAACTTCTTTACTTTGAGGGTGGCAGAGCACTGGCACGGGCTGCCCAGAGTGGTTGTGGAGTCTCCCACACTGGAGACATTCAAAACCCGCCTGGATGCCATCCTGTGCAACTGCTGTAGGTGACCCTTCTCTGGCAGGGGGGTTGGACTAGGTGATCTCCAGAGGTCCCTTCCAACCCTGACCATTCTGTGAAAGCAGGCACCGCACCAACCTCTTGTGGCCCCAGAAACGGCTCATCAAGAACCTCACTGCTCCTGGTGAAATGGGGAGATCTGTCTTCCAGCCCATTGCCAGCACCCCAATACTGGTGCCCCCCATGGGCACCAGCTGCACACAGCTGTCACAGCTCCCACCCCACATCCACCCGCGAGTGCCAACCCCCCACATTTCCTCGGAAACCTGGCTCTCCATCATCATACCAAGACAACATTTACATCAGCACATCTCGACAGTGACTTCCAGGAGTTTCCCTGGGTGCCAAATCTTGCTGTAACATCCCCTACACGTGACCAATGAGTGGCAAAAGCAAGCCACCCCCTTCCCCGGGGGACATCGGGTTCGGCTGCCTGTGCCTCCCTGCAGGCAAGGGCACCCAAATGATGGGCAAGGAGCCTTGTGGGCTATAACCAAGCACACTGGCATGACCACCCCATTAGAAAGACCCTGCACCAAAGGTGCCATGGTCCGGTCTAGCCTGTGGTGGCCCCGGAGGGACCACAGTGCATTACTGGTGTGAACACAGGAGAGCTGCTCGTTTACCCACGCTTCTATCTCTGCACATCTCTCGGTCTTGGTATGACACCACCCTGTGCTGTTCAGAGCAGGGAAGGGACCCACAGTCTTCAAGGTGAGGTTGGAACTCGAAGATCTTCAAGGTCCTTTCCGACCTAAACCATTCTATGATCCTCAGCCGTCTGAGGCCCCAGCACACCCCCGTGCTGCCACACCTCCCCTGCCTGACCTTCCAAGCCAGACGTAACTGCATGGCACATCTCCCGCACGCAGATGGAACCTGGGCAGCTGCTCAAATGAGCGCCGCTACCAGAAGGCACAGGACAGACTAATGGACCAGACCATTGCCAGTAGGCAGTCCTGGACAGCCCGTGACCAGGCCATGTGTGAAACAAGCCTGGCAAACTTAGCTAGACCCTGCTCAACACTGCTTCACCTCCTGCAACCCAGTGCAAGGTGGCACGAGGGGCAGCAGGCTTCCCAGCACCCCGGTCAGCCCCTGCCCCGATCAGGACCAGGGGTGTAAATGCCAGCCCCCCATCCCCCACCTGCGCCCCAGCTCCAAGCCTCATGTGCAAAGCTGCCTTTACCGTTCCTCTCTTCCCATGGCTGCTGTGCTGCAAAGCCTTTTGATTTCCCTCAGCCCCGTTTGAAGTTTGCAGTGCCGGAGGATTTAAAGATTGAAACGTCTCCCTTTTTTCCCCTCTCTCTCTTCTACTCTTCAGAAGGTGAAAGCTTTCTGGCGACCCTGCAAATTCCTGCGCAAGCACCAGCCTTCATGCCGGGGCTGGTGCTGTGGAGATAAGGCTCGCACCGGGCTGGGCGAGCAGCGGTGCCAGTACAGTCACCCAGGAGCTAATCTCCTGGAGGAACGGGGGGGGGGCTGCTTCTCTCTGAAATCAAACTGCTCCGGCCCCATATGGAAGCAAGGTGAGAAACCACCCCTGTGTGTGACACCCTGCCAGCTCTGACATGGAGGGCAGCATGAGCAACGGTTACCAAACAGCTCCATCCAGCACCTGGCTGGATGTGCCAAGGGATTTAGATGTGCCTGTGCTCAGTGCAAGGAACCAGCGTTATCATTTGCATTCCCTGAGGCACCTTCTCTCTGCAAGAGGCTCAAGGGCTGCCCCGAGGAGGTGGAGAGAGGGGAAAGCCACAAGCATGGCTCAGCCATGCTTGGCGTAGGGTGCCCCCCAAGCCACCAGCAGCCTGGCATCCCTCCCTGATGGACCACCTGGTGAGGCAGCACCCCAGGATGCCACCGCTTTGACACCAGCTCCCTTCTCTTTGTCCCCGCTCCCTCTCCTCTCCCTTTGTCCCCTCCTCGCAGTTTGCCTCCCTGGCCAAGGCCAGCAAGAGCTCGGTTCGAGCCAAGCTGCCTCCCGCTCTCCTCTCTCCAGCTCATGGTTCACCCAGAAGCAGCCGTGAGGCCTGAGGAACAGCTCTCGCTCTCCCTGAGGGCCGCTCAGTGCCCAGCAACAGGCAGGCAGACGTCTGCCTGATTTATGGCTGTTATTAGGCCTTGGCTGATGCGATGCTGAGTCCTGGGGCAGGCTGGAGTCCAGCAACGCCTCTGAGGAGCACGGAGGCTGTGGCCGGGGAAGAAGGCAGGCTGCAGGGTGACTGATGCCTTCGGCATTGCCCAGCCCACAGCAGGAAAGCCCAAGCACCCCTTTCCCGGTTCCCCGCAGCAATGCGGGGCGAGTCCTGGCCCCACAGCCCTCTCCGGTAAGCTCCCCCATAACATGCTGTCCCACCTCAGCATCACACCCAGGGCTGCCTCCCCCTCAGCTCCGTCCAAGGGAAAGCAGATGGTTAAGAGAATGACCCGCTGCAAATGGGAGGGGAAAAAAAAAAAAAAAGCTACCAAAAGAAAGCCCAAAGCTGGCTGGAGGCACTGACCCCCCTGGGAGGCATTTTAATCACGAATGCTCAGCCTTTCTGATTAAATCCTGTGGCTGGAGAGCTGGTGCCTGGTGAATATTCATGCAGCAGAATGAGGAGCCCTGGAAACATGCCTACAGGGAAAGGAGCAGAGGGAAGGGACCGAGGCTCTAACCCGCACGCTGGGCAGCAACGGGGTCATCGTCATCGTGTTTGCACTTCCAAGACTGGCAATTACCAGCTTCAAAAGCAGCGAAGCTACAGAAAGAAGAGCTCTGGCTGGACAGTGGGGTGGGCAGCAGACTCCTCCTGGGGGGCTATGCCGTCAGCCTGGAATGGAGCTCCAGGCCTGCACTGGCAAGCTTTTGTGGGGAGCAGGGCTGTGGACCACTGCCCAACAATCTCCTGGGTCTGCCAGGGTGACAGCTCGTCTCTCCTGTCCCCCCCGTGCTGCCAGAGGCTCTCCGCACCCCTGGGCAGCGCCCCAGTCCACCGTGCGGCACATGGCATGGGCTCCAAGAGCCTTGGAGTCACTAGCAGAGGTTCCCCTTCCCCTACAGCAAACATTTTGGTCTTCAGCCTCCCAGGGAGCTCCAGGGATCGGGAAGAAGGCAGCTCAGCTCAAACAGCCTCCCTGACCCAGGAGGGGACACACCCCTGTCCTTCATTTTGGGGGACCGGGAGCTCAGAGATAGGCTCCAGTGCATCACCACCTGTCCTCTTCTGAATGGCAGAGCCAATGTCCGAGAGAGCAAAAGCCACCACTCTGACCGCAACACCCTGAGCGGTCACCCCAGAGATGGCAAACGCTCTGTGGGGACAGACAGGGGTTGTCCAAATCTGTCCACATTTGCAGCTGAGGAGCAGTAAAACGCCTTCAGATGGAGAAGCTAGGAAAGGATGGGTATGGGTATGGGTAAGGTGAACGTTCCTCACCACTTCTGAAGGGTTTTGGCAGACTTTTCAGGTTTTTGATGACACTTGACAAGTTATGAGATCTCAGAATTAAATCAGACTCCCCTCGCCCAGCACAGAGTATGAATGTCAATCTCCTGGTAGCTCAAAAGACAGAGACTAAAATACAATCACCAAGAAGACTCCAAAAAATCCTTAATTCTCCCACCCTAACTTTCTGGTCAGCACCTCCAGCTGTGATGGACCTACCAGGGGAGGAAGCTCCTGAGGTTGGGCTCCTCAAGAGAGGAGAGATATGCTAGTTGGGAAAGGGCAGGGCAGCCCTGGGACCCTCACCTGGCTTGAAAAGATGGCTCTGATGTATTCAGACATAGGAGTTAGGACAAATGTGCTCAAGGTGGGTCTTCCCTGCCAGGCTGAGATTTTAGGTGAGACATCTTGGACAAATGATGCTTGTGATGGCCCAAGTCTTCCCTGCCTCCTACAAGGGGCTGAGCTGAGAACACACACAGCTCACAGGCAGGCAGAAGGGCCCCTTGCCCTGTGTTTTAGGGGCATCCAGCCTCCCTCAAAGGGACTGTAAAGCTCACAGGCAGGGAAGCCGATCCCTCCTCAGATGCTGACCCTTGGGGCACCCACCTCGGCGCTATTCTTGCCTTCCTGCAGAAGAAAGGTGCTCCAGTGCGGTGTCAAACCTGGGCAAACAATGCAGCCAGGTCTGATCATCCCAACCGCCAGCTCTGCAAACCCACCCGCTCACCCTCCCCCTGCACACAGCGACAGCATGGGGCCGACGGGGCTGCCAGCGCGGTGGGGGGCTTCGAACAATAAAGGCGGAAAAACCAAACCAGACCAAACCAAACCTCCACAGCCAATATCAAAGCCAACAAAAGGCCCGTTTTCCAGTGTTTTGCTTCCCTCCCCGGTACAGCTCTTCCCCTTCCATCTTCTCCCCTCCTTCACGAGCGCACCTCTCCCAGTCTCCCTTCCCACTGGAGGATGACGACACTCTAATTGCAAGGGCCCCCTCGCCGCGAGGCGGCTCGATGCAGGACTTCGGGACGTGATTGTCTCCTGCCTTTGTGCAGGGTTAAGTGTGCGAGGAGGCAGGGCTTGCATAAACACACTCAGGCAGAAGCTGGAAAGGTCAAAACTACCCCCCATCTCCAGCGATGGGCATGTGTGCGCCTGCACCCGATCTCAGCCAACCCCGCGGTTACAATTAACCCCCAAAGAGCCCCAACCCACCCACGGGCTGGTATTGGCCATGCAGGATTGCCTTGAAGAGGTCTCCTCTTAAAGCCCTCGCTCCATCTTTTGAAAGAAATCCTCCCCTCACTGAACAAGCCGGGTAGAGAAAGGGAGAGGGTGAAAAGGGAGGGCAGCTGGCAGCCGACAGTCAGAGGAGCATCACGATTTAATATACGACTCCCCAGGCACTCTCGGTAATTCGGTGCTTGGCCCCTCCAAAAAGGGCTTTTACCCTCCGTCCCCCAGAGCCGTTCCTCGGTTCAGTAACGGACGGATGCCTCCATTTCAGATCATCCATCCGCAAGCAAAGAAAGGCTGATGGTGAAGGCAAAGCTCGGGCAGCAAGGAGCTCCAGGTCCAAACCCTGCTTACTCACAGACAAGCTCCTAGGTCCACCTTTGCCCTGCCCTCAGCTTGGCCGGAGGGGACCCCAACACTCCCCAAGGCCACCCCAGCAGATACCACTAGCATCTGCATTTGGATACTCCGGCAACACACACGACGTGAGAGTTTTAAGCACTGTGCTCCAAGGTTTGTTACAGCTGTCCACTGCAACACTAAGTTGACTGCAGAAAGGTGGTACCAGGTTTTAGAAACGCACCAGAAAGCGCAGGTGTCGGCAGGTGCCACAGCCAGAACCCGGACTGAAGTGTTTGCTACCAGCAGACAGGTATTGGTGTGGAGAGAGCCCTCTTACCGAGTTCAAGCCCTCCCTCCCAAGCACAGCCACGGAAGCGCTCAGTCCCGGCAGAGAGAAGAGACTCCCGGGCTCGGGAGCGAAGCAGCCTGCCAGCCCCTGGGCTGGTGGCTCGGCCACCCTGGGAACCAGCTGCTTGCCCAGCCAGAACCCTACAGTGCACGTCACAGCCTTGCTGGTGACAGCACCTCCAAAGGTGTCTCACTAGCAGCTACAAGCGATCCTCACAGCTGAGTAACGATGCTTTGTTCTTGCAGACCACCTCTGGCCTTGGCCCCCTTACACGGCACTCCCCTGCAGCGTGCCCCCCCTGCCACCCTTCCCAGCCCCTCCAGTATTTCCTGATGGGAAGCGACTCCCAATTCAAATCTTGTTGCCAGTCCCCAACCCATCCCCTTGATGCGGAACAGGCTGCCCGAGGGGGACCACACAGAACCCCCCAAAGACAACGCACTAAAGGTTTAATGATTTTCACACCCTACCTGTGACGGTCACCAGCATGGAGGCCACAAGTGGACGGTTGTTGTCCAGCTTACGGCTCAGCCTCAGCTCCCCGCTGGATTGATTTACAATCAACAAGTGCAGTTCATTTCCCCGCTCAAAGGTGTAGAAGAGGCGGTCGGACACATCTGGGTCATAAGCTGGGACCTTCCCTATGACCCCCGAGGGGAAGGTGTTTGATTTATTGGACACATAGTTATTGAACAGTATCTGGAAGTTCTTGAGAATGGGGCTGTTGTCATTCTGGTCAATGAGTCTGATGTGGACCGTGGCTCTGCTGACCAGTGGGGCAGAGGTGGCTTGCACTACAATCACATACTCGGGTTTTGTCTCATAATCCAGGTCTATCAAAGCTGTGAGCTCCCCAGAAAAGATGTCCATCTGGAATATCTCGGGGATGTTGCCTTCTACAATTTGGTACATAATCTGGGCATTGGGTCCCTCATCCGGATCGACGGCTGTGATTTGGGCCACGACAGAGCCTACAATGCTGTTCTCCTTTACCAGGACCTCAAACTCTTCAGCGGGAAAGACAGGGGCGTTGTCATTCACATCCTGAATGGTAACCTGGATATGGACAGGAGTTCGCTGAGGAGGGATGCCCCTGTCAACAGCATATGCAGTCAGCTCGTAGACGGGAACGTTCTCACGGTCCAGCCTGCGGACAGTGCGAATGATCCCCGAGGTGGGCTCTATGGTGAAGTCTCCATCCCCATCCTCTCCGTTCTGGAAGGTGTACTGCACTCGCCCATTGGTGTGGGCATCCCGGTCAGTAGCAGAGATCTGGAGCACGCTGGTGAAGGGAGGTGCATCCTCAGAGATCATGCCCTGGTAATGAGGGCTGACGAACTGGGGGGCGTTGTCATTAACATCATTCACCATAATTTCAACATAGGTGGTGTCCGCTTTCTGGGGAATCCCATTGTCCTTGGCAGTGATAGCCAACGTGTAGGTGACCTGGTCCTCATAGTCCAATTCTGCCTGGAGAGTGATGGCTCCAGAGTCTGGATCGATGCGAAACTGAGGGACGTTGTCTTCTAGGTAGTATGTGATGCGGGCGTTTTCCCCCACGTCATCGTCTGTGGCGCTGATCACCACCGCAGTGCTGCCCACAGGCCGGTCCTCATTGATGCTCACAGAGTAGTGGGCACTCTGGAACATGGGCCGGTGCGTGTTGGCATCAGTGATGTTGATGTGAACATGGCAGTTGTCACGCAGGGTGCGGTCGGAGGCCGTCACAGTGAGCACGTAGCGCCTCTCCTGCTTGTAGTCCAGCGGCAAAGAGAGAGTGATGAGCCCCATCCCACCTTGTGTGCTGATGGAGAAGCGGTTCCGCGTGTTGCCTCCCGTGATCTGGTAGGTGATGGCACTGTTCACGTCCCGGTCGATCGCTGTGACGCTGAGGACGCTGGTCCCCACGGCTGCGTCCTCATTCAGGCGGATGAAGTACTCCTTCTGGGTAAACTCGGGACGGTTGTCGTTGACATCCATGACAGTGATAGTGACACTGGCAGAGGCAGACAAAGATGGAGAGCCATGGTCTCGAGCCTCTACCCCAAAAAAGTAGTGCTCAACCGACTCCCGGTCCAAGGGCCCACTGACCGTGATCCACCCCGTGGCACTGTTCACCACAAAGGGCGTGTCGGCTGAGATCCCCGTCAGTTTGTACTCCAGGCGCGAGTTCTCACCGTAGTCCGCGTCCACAGCCTGGATGTGGATGACGGAGTGGCCAAGGGGAGCGTTCTCCAGGACGGAGATCTGGAAAGGGGTGCTGACAAAGATGGGGGCATGGTCGTTGATGTCCACTACCTGGATGCTGACCATGCCGGTGTTGTTAGATAGTGGAGGGCGCCCTGCATCCTGAGCCCGGATCCTCAGGGCATACTCCCGCTCCACCTCAAAATCCAGCGGGGCCACCACCTGTATCTCCCCAGTGATGCTGTCGATGGAGAAATGGCCCCGGCTGTTCCCGCTGATGATGTTGTAGTGGACCAGCGCATTGTTGTCTTTGTCCAGGTCCGTGGCGGTGACACGCAGGATCTCAGTGTGGGGCCGTATGTCCTCCCTCACCTGGACGATGTAGCGCTTCTCGCTGAACTGAGGGGTGTTGTCATTCTCGTCAAGGACCGTGATGTAGACCTTGACCGTGGCAGAACGGGGCCCCGGCTCCCTCCCCTGGTCGTTGGCCTCCACCACCAAGGAGTATCTCTCCATCTTCTCCCTGTCTACCGGCCCGCTGGTGGTGATGAGGCCGGAGCGGGGGTCAATCTCGAAGACGGCGTGGGCAGCCCGCTCGTTGACGAAGCGGTAGCGAATGTTGGCATTGGGCGGGGAGTCGACATCGGTGGCCCGCAGCTGCAGGATGGGGTATCCCTCCTCCACGTTCTCCCGGATGGTCTCCCGGTACTCGCCCTGCTCAAAGACCGGGTCGTGGTCGTTGCGGTCGCCCACGGCGATGGCCACCATGGTGGTGGCGGAAAGCCGCGGCGCCCCGTGGTCGGCGGCCGTCACGCGGAAGTAGTGGAGCTCCATGCTCTCCCGGTCGAGGGCCTGCGTGGTGGTGATGAGCCCGGCCCGCGGGTCGATGCTGAAGAGCTCCCACTTCTGGCCCAACTCTTAGGAAGCGCAAAACCATGCAAGCAAACGAACAAACAAAAATAAATGCCCTCATAGCAAGACACTTCAGGCAAAGTCAGTCTGAGATTCTACAGGAAGGTCTACTTGAAGCTCTTTGTCCTTGGCTTTGAAGCTAGACCGTGTCCCTGCTATAGATGTTGCTAGTACAGTGCGTGTGACTGTTTCCCCTAGAGTAGACCATGCCCCTGGCTAACTATGGGTGGCATGAGGGGAAGTTGCTTTCTCCATGCCTTCTGCCCCTGATGATGGAGGTGCGCTTTCCTTTGTACCCCAATACACTGGCTCAAAGGTCACAAGCGCCACTGGAGTGATGATGCAGTGGTAGCATCGTCTTCCCCTGCACTATTTGTTAAGGGTCTCACCTCTGCAGCTGGGCTCAAGTCTTCCAACTAGCTCTTCTTTCATTGTGCTTCTTTATGCCTTCCTCTTCTTTAGGTCAGTAAAAGCTGGTTTGTTGGAGGTATGTTTCTTATTAGGAAGGTTTTTGTGGTCCAGAACGGCCTGTCATTTCTTTTTCTTCCTGTGAGTGAAACAAATTTAGAAAGTTTGGGTTTCATTCAGTTGTAGAACAAAAACAAATATAAAAAAAACCTCACAAAAGATGGGCTTGTTCACTGATATAATCACAGCACAGCCCCTATGGCAGGACCCAAACCAGTTTCTATCACATTAATGTTTGCATGGCTATTATGAAGGACGAGGTTCAAGACTGTGACAAGACACACAAAGGAATGTAGAAGTTTCCAAAAAATCACTTAATATGGACATCTCATTCTTTAATCTCCTGAAAATTAATAAAAGCTTTCCCATTTAGACTGCTGGAGAATCTGGAAAAAGTATGTTTGACTGTTAATTAGTATGCATGAAGTTATAAATTAGCAGTCTCTCCTGCAGTAAAAACCATGTTACAATCATCATGGAGCCTGAGCAAGCCCTCGCATCACTCTGTCTGTATTTAGTACAGGTTTAGCGACATCAGCTTAATCTCTGGCTCTGCCAAAGCAGGTCTCCACTGGAGAACGTTACTGCTACTCTTCACAGTGCTTTGGACTATCTGGGTGTGCCCATAGCAGTGTTGCCGGCCCCGAAGTCCTGCCCAGTGCCGCGGGGATGCTTGCCCGCACCTTGGGCAGGGGGACCTGGAGTGTACCAGCCGGAAGCAGAGCTTGTCTGGCGGCGGTCATGCGGCCTATGGACGCCGACGACCCTCACCGTGCACTGACACCACTGCTGCGGCACTGCTGATGCTCCGGGCAGCAAGCGGGGTCCTTGCGAACCACCCATTTTTCCAAGGAAAATTCATTTTGGGGCCCTTGCATCGGGATGGTTCATTAGCGCATCAGCCTTGCAACTTAGCTGTTGGTTTGATCTCAATCAACTAATATCGCAGCCTAATCCACTGAAGCTTGTAATAGGCTTAGGAATAACAGGGGTTTACGTCCTCTTTAGTGTTCAGTGCGCTGCGGTGGGGGGAACATCCTCGGCCACGTCCTGTTGGAGAAGAGGAGCCCGAGGCATGGCGGCTGGGTCGCGTGCTAGGGAAGAAAAAGCCGTGCCAGGGAGGAAAACAGAGTAAATTTGGGAGATAAGGGGAATTTGGGATGGGGTTGGAAAGGGCCGGGAGTACACAGGACGCACAGTGTGCCCATGCACATCCCAGCTCCAAGGGGGCTGCAAGACCCCTCCATGCCGCTGTGCTGGGCGGGCTGCGGTTCAGTGTGGGTGGGCTGGGGAGCAGGGGGACCCCTGTGCCAACACCGCAGGCAGGCTGGGCACCGCCGGCACCCCGTGTGCAGCCCCTACATAGCTCCCAAAAAAAGACGCATGAGTTAACAGCGGGATGGGTTCACACCAGGGATGGGGCTCCTCTGCTCCCTCGGCCCTCGCTCCCAGCGCCGCGGGAGCCGTGCGCACTCTCTGACGCTCCTGGGGAACCGAAAATGCTCCCACCCCACGCGAAGCCTAACGAGGCAGTGCAAGGTCCCACGGTTCCCTGGCAGAAATTTGAGTGACTGCTTTGGACAGTGCAGGCCATCTGCACAGCGAAGAGAAGGTCAGAGGAGATGTGTTGACCCCTGGGCACAGCGGGTCTGGGGAGGCCGAGGGGGTCCAGCCATCGCTGCCACGGGGGTGCCCTCTGCACCAGCTGCATCCCACGTGCTGCTGCCGCAGTGCTGGATCCTGGCATCACCAGTGCTTTGCCTCTCCCCAGTGCCCCATGTTCCTGTGCTCCCCCACCAACCACGACCACCACCAGCTCTCACCCAGCTTCGGTTCCACCGATGGTGACAGATGGTCCCCTATCAATTATTGTTAGTGTAAATGAGGGGGTGGGAAGAGTGCATGCTGCCCACTGATTCGGGCTTTGACTGCAAGCAGGCTCCCACTCCTGGGGTGGAAACTAAACGAACACAAAGCCGGGTCTGCAACACGTCCAGCAGGTCCCCAAAACCACCGTGCACCATCCTCATGGCCCGTGGCTCTCTCTGCGGGGCTGGTGCCTCCTTTCCACCACCATCACCCACACAGAAGCCAAGGCCTGGCCGGCACCCGGGCAGGGGCAGGGTGGGCAGAGCAGGCAGGGCTTGTCCTCACCTCGGTGCCTGGGCTGAGCACGTTTCAGGACCACCATGGCAAATACCAAGCAGGCCAGGCCCTAAAGCGGTGGCTAGCGCAGCTCGGCACGTGCCGGAGAGAAGTTCCCATGGCGCTTACACAACGCTGAGGGCTGACACCTGGTGGGTGTGGATTTCTAAGCCTCCGGAGAAGCTGGCATGTTAATTTATAAACTCCGTAGGACTCCTAAACATCGGTAATCAGCTATGATTAACTCCTCAGACACCACAAAATGCCTCTGGCTTGGCTAGTCCAGCACCAGCACTGACGGGGCTGTGGCGATGGCAGCCAGGTGCATGCGTGCCCTGGGGGGATGCATGTTTTCCCCCTCCAAGCACCCACCCGAGCCCTCCGGACGCCGTTAGGATAATGCCAGA